ATTTAAAAATGAAGGATGAAAGGACAAGAAGAGTCAAGAACGATCCCAGAGTTCATCTCTATTTACTTCTTTTATATTAATTTAGGCAGGACTAAACTACACAATTCAGTCATTTCAAGTAGCTTAATTTACAACAGTTGAACTGTGATATACTTCTTAGCTCACAGAATAATTACTTATTTAGATTTCCGGATTAGGAAATAGAAATATAAATAGAAAGTAGAAAATTTGTTGTTCAAGTTTTCTGAAATATCCTGTAAATAAAATCTGTTCAATAAGATCTAAAATCTAGGCAATTACTTTTGAAAGGGTGTCTCCTTAAGCACAAGTAACGCTGTGTTCTCTGGAACAATGCTAAACGCTTCATCAATTTTCACATCTACCTTTAAATTATCTAAAAGATATTTAGGTTTGCACACAAAATGAATACTTTAAAATCTGAGATCACTAACTTGAGATTTTAGAGGTTCACAGCAGGAAACCTGTTAAAATCAAGATCACTATTTCTACAGAGTTTCATGAAAAAATTTCTAAGTCTCAAGAAAAAAATAGTAGGATTATATAACTCATAAGATTGTAGTGAGGATCAGGTGAAATTAATTCATATGAAAAGTACCACTATATATGTAGATATATGTGTGTATATATATATATGTACATAATGCACATATATGATAATCTCTGAAAATACCATAAGAGAATGAAGTATTAAATGGCAGGAAAGAAATTTAGAACAAAATGTAATTTACAAATTTTCTTACTTTAACTGTAATAGCAAGGCTTTTTCTATTTCTAAATATATATGCACAGATCTTAAAATGTTGGTAAATAGCACTGAAAGCATAATTTTCAGCTTTTTTCAATTTCATAGGTATCAAAGTTGGATAAAAAGCTCTTCAGTATATAGCATATTTTCATGATTTAAGAAAAGAAGCATGTTACAGTGACTAGGGCATAAATATAGGAGGCAATGTATATAAATTCATCCTATGATTCTATCACTAATGCTATCTTTTTCCAGGGTAAAGAATACTGTCCTATCTTAGAGGATATGCTAATTAATTCTTGGTAAAATATGATTAAACAGTATTAATTTCTTCCAAAGTATTAGTAATAATCATTTTCTCACACATACAAATACTATCATATGTAAATTTCTTACATAGAATATATGGTTTATTTCCAGATTGTATATTTAAGTCATCATTCATTTCACAGGATAACAGAATTAGAGCTAGAAGCAACATTGGAAGTGATCAAATCCCACCCCAACATTTTACAGATGAGGAAATTGAGTAAAAGAGAGGTTAAGTGACTTGCACAGGATCACGCAGTTAGTGAGTAAGTAAAATGGAATTTAACCTAGGCCCTTCTGACTCTAATTCCAGCACTCTTATCTACTACTCTACAGTGGACATATATTTTCTAGAGATAAAAAAGTTTTAATTTCTCCTTAAATAAACTCTAATGCTTACTTTGCAAACTTGATAATAATCCCAAGTTTAAGTATTCAAAATTTTCAACTAATTATGGCATTTCCTACTTTGCCACTTTATTGAATTAAAAAGAGTTTAATAGAGATATTTCAAAAGAATCATTTTTTAGAATACATATTTTGAAATAATTAAACAATATATTTCCAATTTATTATTCCAATTTTCTTCCTTTTTAGACTGTAAGCCTTTTTTCATGTCCCAGCTCTTAGCATAGTGTCTGGCACAAAGGTGGTGTTTAATAAATGTTTATTGACTTTTTGTAGCAAAACTTTAGAAATTAAACATGTCAATGCAGGAAGCAATTGCTTGCTTTTCTCACAAAACTAGTATGTAAAAACAAAATGAAAGGTCAATTAAATTTGTTTTCCTCAACTAAAATTACCCCATATTCAACATACGTATTATACATTTATAACACAGACATACTCACACACACGTACACAACTAATAAAAGATAGTAAATTAATGGATATAAAATAATTTTTACATAACTAAGTATATGTCCATAAAATGTAACATGTAACATATACTAATCATAAATATTTGCTTTAAAATAAGAAAGAATATTTTATATTCTAATTCAAAATCTTCAAATATTTGGTCATAGCTATACATTTTTTCATAATGGTTTCTTTATTCAAATCACTAGATTTCAAACAGCCCCAACTTCACAAGTCCATTTTAAAGCATAATTTACCTTGAAAATACACTCTGAGTAACAGTCATTTATTTTAAAATTCATTCTCAGTAAAGTGGCTGTTTATTTGGTTTTTTCTTTTTTTTTTAATGATCCAAATCTACAATGAAATGATGAAATCTAAAAACAAGTGTTCTTGTCAGAAGACAGGAAGCAGTTTTTTCCCCCTCCTTAAGGAAAACAAAGGATTCCTGAAAGCCTTGCCCTGATTTATTTTTCCAATTTGAAATAACCTTAGGAGTAGCGGAACTGCTACTGGCATGGTAGTATTTCTAACAGTCAATAAATCTAAAATATTATGTGTGAATATTGGAATGAAGCCATTAAGAAGATTACAGCATGCAACACAGCAGAGGGTCCACAGGAAAAAAGGAATGGTAATTCAGGACAACTGTGACCACTGACCTTTGAACAGTCAAGACCACTGGTCAATCTGACACAATAATAGAGTTCACATGCATAGAAAGTCATCTACCCTGTAAGTATTATTTAAATGCTTTGGTGAATGATTTAAAAAGGACCACTTTAAATCTCAGGTAATTTATTATACACCAGATAATACCAATAATAATCATTTTCAGGTTTTTCTTTTCATTCATTAACAGGAAAATCTACTAATATCTTCTCATATTTTTATTAGATTAACATATATGATTACTTTTAAGTATTTTTCCATTGTACAAATCAAAATGCAATGCTTTTTATCACATATTCTCTAAGTAGTTTGGGAATACTGATGAAAATTTTTAATTTACTGGGGTCACTCACACAATTGCCTGGATTGTTTTCAGGACCAAGTGATAAGGTTTCCTTCGACTTTAGTAGATTGTTCTAATTTCACATTACAATTTTTGCTATTTATGTAATCTTCAAGAGACCTTTCTATAAGTTTGTGGGCCTTGCCTCTAAGAATCTAAATGAATTACATTTTCACTTTTTTTGTGATATGGCTTTTGACCCAACTTTATAATATCAGAATTCTCTTTATTAAGACTTCTATGATATTTAAACAAAATCTCATCAATAAAACATTAGCTATCATTGTATATAATCAGAGCTTTATATTTTTGTGGTGTTTTAGTCCTATATATGTCTATATGAGTGCTTTTAATAAACAAATTAGTTCCACCAAGAATGAAGTTTCTTTTCTTTATAACTTGGTAGGAAAGACTATCAAAACATAATTCTCAAAGGAAATATCATCTATCACTAAAGTGACTATAATAATTTTAATACTAAACATAGAAAAAACTGAACTTCATTTTTTACAAAGCACCCATGTTCTCTCCTGAGGTCATTACAATGGGAAATGTATACCCATGCAGAATATATTCCTAAAGCTGAGACTGAATTTTCATTCATTATTTTCTCCATTCAAATAAGACTACTTTGATGGAGTTCTAATGAAAAACTGCAATCATTTCTAGCAGCTTCTGTAAAATTTTTATAATAAGCAAGTCTAAATATTAGAAACTAAAAAAAAACTTCATTGGTTTAGATTTCGATATACTCAACATGAATTTTACTGCAGTGCAATGAACTAGTTTAGTTTTCATTTATTGCAAAGTCAGCTAACATTAACATGGTAGTAATTTATTAATAGCTTAGATCTGACTTTGAATATTTCACTCCTTATTATACTAGAGGAATAATAATTATCAGTATTCTAATATGAGTCCAAAATCTTAAAATTCATCTAGTCAAGCTCCTTCTGTGTATTTCAAAGCACTTTTTCTATTATATCACACTTAAAAATGCTCCCAAACCATTATAAAACACCAATTTTACATACTCTTGAAAAATATGAAGTTCTATACAAATTCAATATATTATTATAATCTATTATTCCATTCTAAGACAAGCAAAACACACATAAATATAGAAGCAATACCAGGATACTTTTCAGTTCCATGCTAGGGAAGAGAAAAGTGAAATGCACTTTTAGAGACTATTTAACATGAAATACAAAATATGTTCCATTATGAGCTGCAGACAAAAAAACCTCTGCAAGATCAAAGACCAGAAAAAAAAAATGGCACTTAATTTATCAGCCTTTACAGACAAAAGACAGTTTTCGTCATTTCAAAAGGATCAGATGTCTTTTATGACAAACTGGGTTTGCAGTTTAATTTACAAATAGAATTCTAAGTAAGCAGTCTTTGCTCTTCCAAAGTATATGACAAACAGTGTAGGTTTTCATTCATGCAGCCCTCAGCTGGATAGAAAAGATTAAAATAAAACTGAAATAATTTAGAGAAAACAAATAAATGTTTCAGAAAGTTGAGAGAGATCAAAGCCAGAATTTTCTGACCCCAACTGTACAAGCATTTCTTATTATATTGACCAGTGCCATCAGATCATTAATTAAAAGGAAAAGCACTGGCAGGTGGCAGGGAAGCAAAAGCCGATAATTGGCCCCCTTCTTCTTCTTGCCTTCAAAAACTCTCTCATTCTTTTGCAAGACATGCCACTAGGCAGACAGAAATGCCTACTTTGTAATATAATGATTAAGATGAGATGAAGAGACTTACGTCTAAAGCAGCTATGCCTAATGAATGCAGCTAGCTTTGTAATTATGATCTTGCTTTTAAAATGAGTAATGTGATGTCCCATTCAATGTTTCCTCAACTGTCAAAAAGGGAAAAATATTTTAAATATGGACTTCAAGGCTGATGCTTTTTCCCTTACCCCACTCATAATAATTTTGCTTTTATATTACGTAGAAAAAAGGGCAAAAATAACTACTAATAATTCAAAGACCCTGACGAAAGCATACACACCCACTATGATATAGCCTTCAGACTTACCACTTCACTTGGTAGGTTGTTCAGGTCATTAAACGGTGTTTCCAAAGTGTTTGTGTCAACATTCAACATAACCACATCCTCCAATGATTTATTTTTCACTCTCTGTTCAAAAAATGCATACATCTATGAATAAATATATTTTCTTTTACTTAGCACAATCTGAATCTGGAAACAGAGATTATCATTATTAAATTAGGTATCAAGATAATAAGATTAGTGGAACTTGATCATATTTTTTAAAACTCCTAAAAGTTTTCCTTTCCACCTAAGAAAGCTTTAAAAATTATGAATTGGCAAGAATTATGTTCTAAAATTTATTTATGCATTTAATAAAATACTATACTATTTTGAACAAGCAGTTGTTAAATTAGAAATTATAATACAGCTTTATAAAATAGATAGGCATAAATCATATTGCAGAAACATTAAGGACTTTAAATTTTAATGCAAAAGTATAATACCAGCATTTCTTTCCCCCTACAAATAACTGAATGAAAATGTGAAACAAAAGTTCTTAAAATGGGTCTATGAATTTTTTCAAGCTGATAACTGTATTTTAATAAAATTGCTTTCCTTCATAATCATATTTATTTTATGGATTTAAAAACATTAGTATCTATAGCTTTCATCAGAATGTCAAAGAGTATTCACGTACGTATACACACACATCGAGAACTCGTGATCTAGGGAAATTTACAAAAACATAACTGAATTGAAAGTTAAAATCATCACAAGACTTTAAGAAACATGTAAATAAGAGTAATACTTAGGTATGAATAATATCAAGCAGGTAAAATTGTAAATATTCATATATGTCATACCATAAACTTCTACACAAAACAATAAATGTCACTTTGTTACAATCATGAATTTTTCCTTGCTACAATCATGGGTACTGTAATTTGGGAGGACAATTTCAAAATCTAGAAACATTTGCTATTTCTCTCTTCCCTTGAATGCACTGTATTAATACATTCCAAAAAAAAAAACCTACTCAATAATCAACAAATTAATAGATGTACACAGTGATTAGGAAAGTATCCTGAAGATGAGGAATAAAACAACAGAAAAAGGGGTATGGGAACAGAAATGAACATAAACCTCATGGTTAGCAATAATATTGATGAGTATTGCAATAAAATATTTTTGACATGGGTTTGTAAGATTGACCTTTGGGAAAGAAGATTCAAAGAAATAATAAAGTGACTCAGTCACTTTTGTTAAAATGGTCCAACCAATTGAGCGTTTGGGCAAAAACCTTAATTCACAAGATCATATGCTCCTTTTTCCTCCCTTACTATAAGTAAAGTTAACACTATATTTTCCTACTAAACGAAATTCTTCTGTCACCTCTGTTAAAATTGTAGCAATGAAGACTACTTTTTAGTGCATCTAAGTAGTACTATTATGTTTTTTCAGCATTTCTAAGTATAAACAGCCCTTAGTCAACTGGAAATCTTACGTGATATTTTCCCAAGACACTTTGATAAAATTGTTAGCATTATTAATTTATTGAATGTTTTATACAATAAACTGATTGGACCAATTAAAAAAGTTAAGCCAAGAACAAATCTCCCAAAGTGAAAATGCTAAGTTTATCTTAAAATGTATGGTTCAATCTTTTGCACCAAGTCATGAGTGGCCAAATGTTTTGGGTAAAAGCTAAAATATTAAATTGCTGACATTCTCCTACCACACTCTCAACACATTTTTAAAAAAAGTCTCTTCAACAGAATAATATCATGAAAATTAAGATGCTATTCTCTCTTGGAGCATCAGTCAATAAAGAAGTAAAACTTTTGGTAGCAATGCTAAGATTTAAAAGTCTACAAACAAAGTTGGTCCCTTTGCTTTCTTGGTAAAAGATAAATAAAATAAATATCTTAGTAAGAACATAATTAGCAGTATTGTAGTATGTCAAAATATAATTCATATAGATAATAAAATTATTAATATTTGAAAATTTATCAAAGAAGAAAACAATTTAATTTTTAACATTAATCTACTTAAAATACAATTTAAAATGTCTTTTATGAAATTTTGTGTACTTTTTAAAAAGCTTAAAATTGGGAATTATAGGAAGTATATAGAAATGGTTAACTAAAGGGTATTAAATGAATCAAACAGTTCTGAAAAAAAATGAAAATGGTATAAGGAAATGGAAAATGCAAGGAAGTAGATAATATTCTTTAGAATTTTATTTGACTAGTTCCTATAAGCTACCAAGGGTAGCTGTCAAATTAAATTGAAGAACTCACAAATGGAAACAAAAGTACAAGATATTTTAGGCTAACATAAAGGAATTTAAAGAAAATAGAGACAAATATGATTTTGGGGTTTTCTTTTTACAAAACTTGAGTCTAAAACATTTTTGGTATTTGTATTTTACCCAATTTTATCCACAATAACTCTTACCATCTTTAAAAGGAAATGGAAACACAGAGACCTTTTCACATAAAGCTCCCATATAGTGAAGAAAACAAATGAATTTACATGAGTAAGAGAAGAAAAAGTGATCTTCTGATACAAGGCATAGAAAAGAAATGGTTATCTTCTTTATAACTAATGAATGAATTTTATATTAGGAAAGTAAGTAAAAGAATATATTTTAGAGGAAGGAACCTCAAATACGGAAGTAGATAGCTTTTCTCACACATAATCGAAAGCCTAATGCTTCCTTAAAGTGTTGCTGTAAATGTGTCTCTGCAAACATACCTTAATGGCTAAATGACACAAGGGCAACAATCACCTGTCCTTCTGAAAACAGGCCAAACTTCTCTTTCATAGTTGCTTGTTTATTACTCTGGAATGAGAAAGATAAAACTACACCTTTGTAGTATCTGCCTGCATACTGCCAATCTCTCCAATGTCTCTTTGAAATTGCTCTGTTTCCCTAGTCTTGTTTTTAGGGGCAAAGCAAACACACAAAGCCTATATTTTATTTTTATTTTGGAAGCAAATTTGTATGAACATATAAAACCACACCGTCTTCTTTTCCTCATAATTACAAATAAAATAATCAAAGGAAAGATTGATAAAGTGCCACATTAATTTCATGTTTCTGTGGGTAACTAGGTTTAGATGTCTCTAGAGAAATGGTGAGATAAGTTAGAGTTGATTTGAGGAAAGAAGAAAGTGTATGATAAGAGAATGATTTTCTTCTTCATCAATAAAAGGGCTATAATCGCAGCCAAAAGCAAGGAAATATACTAAGCTAAGGAATATTATATTTGCAAGCAGCAATATCTATAATTCAATTTCAAATACAATTTGTTCAGTTTTTATGTTTTTATAATTTTGAATTGTTGTTTAAAGGAAAATGTCAGGCATATCCCATAATGTGATAAATAAAATGTGAAGACTTTATTTTAAGATTGGCATGGCAAAAAGCATATTATCTTTCAGGACATAATACCATTATACCAATTAAGAAGTTAATGTCGCATAAGTGGCCAGACAAAATTCCTGAATCTAAAAATGCACCTTCAGTAACTCTTTATTCACATCACAACAAAATAAGGTTACATTTTGTACAAGGCTAAACTAATGCCACACAAGATTCTGAATCACAAGTCAGTTATTTCTTGAAACAATCTAAAAAAATGCATTAGAGCTCACTTCTACCTATTTATGTTTTGATTTATAAAATTTTTCTTGACACATTCACAAGTTGCATGATTATTTTTAAAATAATCAATATAGATAAAAAATTGAAGCAGTAAGATTTTAAGCTTTATAAAAAAGTTTATTACTTTATATTAAATTGGGGAAAGGTGATAATTATGCTAATATATTATGGGAAATAATGCATGAAATATTTCTATAAAACCAATGCAGCAGCATAGCAAAGCAAAGCTCCAGATTTGGAATAAGGAAGACCTGAGTTCAAATCCTACCTCAGAAACTTACCAGCTGTGTGACTCTGCCCAAATCATTTAACCACTCTAAGCCTCAGTTACCTGATCTGTAAAATGGGGCTAATACTAAACACCTACCTCTCAGGGTTGTTATGAGGCTCAAATGAGATAACATATATAAAACACTTTACACAACTTAAGTGTGTGTATGTAGATACACACATACAAATATATGTTGTATGTATGCATATATACAGGCAGTTAGGTGGCCCAGGGGATAGAATGCTAGGCCTGGAGTCAGGAAGACTCATCTTCGTGAGTTCAAATCTGGTCTCAGTCATGAGCTGTGTGACCTGGGGCAAGTCACTTAACTCTATTTGCCTCCGTTTCATCATCATTTAAAATGAGCTGGATAAAGTAATAGCAAACTACTCCAGTAACTCTGCTAAGAAAACCTCAAATGGAGTCACAGAATCAGACATAACTGAACAATAACAATATATACATACATACATATTCTAGCTCTTATTAAGATAATATATATTATAAATAAATTTCTAAATTATAACATACATTTCAGGCCTTGCATTGTGTCTCAAATGGAAAAAAAATAACCAAAAGACCTACATTGCATAAAAACTGAGCAAGCAGCAAATTTCATAAGCCAGGCCTTCCACTGCAAAAACTGCCAAATGAAACTATGGAATAAGCAAGAAGAATTTCTGGATTCATCTAAATTGAGGAATGGAACGTATAAACAGAGAACATGAAACGCTAAGTAAACTGAAATTATAACAGATTAAATTAATTTTTAAAGTTGAATAGAACTGTGTGAATAGGCCACCTGGAGAAGGATTTGATTTGCAAGGTATTATTTTTTATATCAACACTTGATGACCTCCAGGGGATGTCTTAGGCTCTGGAATCAAAAACAGAATAAAAGAACACAGTGATAAAGTGCTCTCTTCCCTCCTTCCTTTATGATGCTAAGAAGTCACTTTAAGTCTCAGATATAAGGCCCTGTGTTTCACTACCCAGTTGACTCAAATTGTCAGTTGTCAATTTTATGTTCTTTGTGTTAAGAAATACAATACAGAATTATAACCCCCCTCCTACTCCCAAAATGCTTCACATTAAGACAATAGGAAAAGTCCCCACATTTAAATAGCAAGGTTATATAATAAAACAATAGAGCAACTAGGTGGCACAGGGGATAGAGTGCCAGGCCTGGAGTCAGGAAGACTCATCTTCCTAAGTTCAAATTCCCTCTCAGATCCTTACTAGCTGTGTGACCCCAGGCAAATCACTTAACCCTGTTTGCCTCAGTTTCTTCATCTACAAAATGAGCTGGAGAAGGAAATGGCAAACCACTCCAGTATCTTTGCCAAGAAAACCCTAAATGGGATCACAAAGAGTTGGACACGACTGAAAAACAACTGAACAACAACATAATAAAACAAAATATAATAAAATGCATATTCAAAAAGTAAACTTCTTAAAAGCATTACATTAGAGGGCACAAAGTAAGAAATGTATTGAATATGCTATTAAGGCATAGGTCACCATGTGTCTTACTTGGGAAAATCAATTCAAAAATAAGTTATAAAAGATATCAAGTCATTTTTAAGAAACAATAAAAACATAAAAATTACTTCATTAAAGATGAAAAGTTTAATATTTCAAATCATATAACTTTTATACAGGATATTTTAATATTTATGTGCTTCAGATCTCGAAAAACAGTCACTGTCATGTTAAATATCTTAGTACTGGAACAACATCACAAAAATTACTACGCAAACACTTCAAATACAGGAGCTGAAACTATTTCAAAACTAACTGAAGTTTTTTTTTCAAGAAAATAAATCATTATGACTATGATTTTCAGGATGTAGTTTAAGTCTGAAAAAAATACTTACCTCTATGAGGCTAGAGTGAACTCCAATCAGGTATGGCATTGGGGCACTAAATTGAAATATACACATACATACTATATTAAAACTCAAACTATAGTATAAGTAACTAAGAAACTGTAGAAACATTTATTAAAATGTTCTTTTATGTTTCACATACACTCAAAATCATCTTAAAATGTCAATAAAACAAAGTCAAGCTCTATTAAGTAGGATTCATTAAACCAAAGTTTTTAGGAAACACATGAAGGAAAAGCGAGCATTCCATTGTGAACACTACATTTTTAAAAAGTGAAAATTTTACCTGCAAATATCATCACTGGGCCAAAACCTGAGTTGAATTATTTTCTATAAAATGTCTATTATCATAGCCCAAGAATAATTTTCTGTACAATGCACATTATCATAGACCAATTAACTGACAATTATAATTTTCTTTTTTTTAACATTTTCTATTAAATTTAATTCTAACTCCATAGATATAAGAATGTATTTTTAAAATATGCATATTTCCCTTACCACCACTTCCCCTGAGGCACTTTGTAAATTAGAAAGTTCTATACAAATGTAAAGTATGATTAATAAGTGTTTACTCTTATTAATGATGGTGTGGGTACATTATGATCTGCCATGATAGAGGAAGTTATCTGCTCCAATAAGACAACAGAACCACTGTCTTATTTTAATTGTTTCTATTGCTTTCTATCTGTTATCATTATTTCATCTCTGCTACTATAATCTCTCCCCTCCTTCTAGCTTTTAAATTATTTTATCTCAGGCTTTCTCTTGATATCAGTGTTATTTTTGTGGTGGAAAATTATTTGGATGTTTTTAAAAAATGCTTGAAATAATCATGCTAGTGGGCATAAGCTTAGTCTTAAATTAAATATAAAGCACCAATACTTAATATCAAATACAAAAATGAAACTTTCCCCCAGGTATTAATAATCAATTTACTAATTAGGATAGCCAATAATCAATAAATTGATGGTCATTGGTTTCTCTCTATAACCAAAAATATCAAGGGAGACTCTGAAACACTTTAAATTAGGTGTGTTCCTTCTGATAGGGAACTCCCATGACAACTGAAATTTGACCCTGATTGGTGAAAATTTAATGAGGAGGTGAGCTAGGAAATCTTCAGCTCGTTCCACTGAGAACTTGGCTTGATCATGAGACTCAGCAGCCTCAAGTCATCTGGGCAGGGGAAGTCACTCTGGCTAAGTTTTCTTCTTCATGAGTTTAATTAATGTTGCCCTAAACTCTAACAGAGAGGATCAAAGACAAAAATGAAACTTTTAACTTTATATTTTAAAAACAATACCTTGTATACATTATATAGTATGCCTATTTGAGAATGGATAGGTTTTTACACATAGACTGTAACAAATGCAAAGAAATCTTATTTACAAAATAATTATTGACAAGTATATTTCAAAGAATTCTTAAATACTGTTCAGTGTAAACCTTCATTCAAAATGGGGTGGGGGAGTGAAGTTTTCCTTTTCTCAAACAATTTACACAATCATTCCTAAAATAATTTTCATTGTTAAAATAAAGTAGCTTCCCAAACTCTATCTAGCCTGTTTTCTCCAGATCTTTACCCCATGTCACAACTGCTAGAACCTTCTTTTCTTAGATTATCCTCCAACTACTCAGTATGTGTCTTGTACATATCTACTATTTGTGAGTTGTCTCTCCCAACAGAATCTTATGAGGGCAGGGACTGTTTTTTGCCTTTCCTTATATTCCCTATGCTTAGCATGGTACCCAGCACATTACTAACCTTTTAATAGATGCTTGTTGACCAAGCAATCTAAAGAAAACAAGCTTTGGGAAAATGAACTCAACTCTCTAACCCACGTGTTAGAGTCAACAAAACTGGAAATTATTAATACTGAACTAAGTCTCTAAATTGTCTTGACCTAGCTTATCTTTGCTTTTTCCCTTTATTTTTCATGCAAAAGATCATTTGGCATAGATAAATGTTGAGGATGCTTTCCTTGGTTAAAATATACCCCCGAAAGTTGAGGGCTTCTTCTTCACAGAAACGGGACCAAGGGTGTAGAATGCCACATATAATGTTAAACATTTTCAACATGCTATTTTCTAGAAGTTTCCCTTCCCTCTTTTTTAAGTCTGTGCTATAAGGGGTTGCTTTACTGGGAGGGAAAAAGAAAGGGATAGATTGAGAAATGAAAATGACAAAAATAAATTATGCTACAATTTTTAAAAAAATGAAAGCAAATTGAAGGACCCCATGTTGTTGCTGACATTCTTGACAGTGCCCTAATGGAATACTCTGAATCCAGCAGGGAATAATAGGTATGAATATGTATCAATCTTCTTCTGCTTTAAATAGAAATACCTGGTAATCTTTCTAGCCTCAGTTCTCAAATTAATATTGTTATCTGGAACTATACAGGAAAGGGGATAAAGTATAAAAGATGAGCATTTTTTACTTTCTGGGACCACATTTAAACAATTTCCACAAAGCAAGATAGACAAAATTCCATGATCTTCAGTGATTCAGGACACTCCTACTTCCTCCTCACTGCTTAGAAAAAATATGAAGATGAAAAATATACATTACCTACATATCACCATGAAAGTGCCAAATTTCCCTGTGAGATGGATAACCTCACCAAACAATAACAAATGTTGTCAATATTATTATAATACTCTCTGTGCATTTTGTCTAAATATCTTTCATAATCTTCTAGGACAACGTAATCTCCTGAGGGCAGAGACTGTTTTGTCTTCATCTTTTTATCCCACGTGTCTAGGCATACTGTTATAAACACCTAATGAATGTTGAGCTGAATCTGCTGACATAGGAAACCAATTACTCTCATTGTCCAATTTAAGACGGATGAAACATCATTGAAAACTGAAATGAGTTGACAAAAATTAATCAATAATAATAACAATAACAATAGGTTACATTTAATTAACTCTAATATTAGTTTTAGATAGCTAGGTGGCTCAGTGGATAAAGTGTCAGGCCTGGAGTCAAAAAAGACTCTTCTTCCTGAGTTCAAATCTGGCCTCAGACACTTACTAGCTACGTATCCCATGGCAAATCATTTAACCCTGTTTGCCTCAGTTCTTCATGTGTAAAATAAGCTGGAGAAGGAAATGGTAAGCCACTCTAGTTTCTTTGTCAAAAAAATCACAAATGGGGTCACAAAGAGTTGGACATGACTGAATAATGACTAAATGACAAATGTCAGTTTATAAAGTGCTTTCTGTACACAAACCCTATGAATATAATAGTATAAAAAAAACAGTACCTATTAAGCACCTTCTATGCAAAGGAGTATGCTAAATATTAGGGATATAATATGAGTCACCATCTTCCATAAAAGGCTTTTCATTCTACAAATAGCATCATTTCCATATTACCTATGACAATCTTAGGTTTAGGTCAAATGACTTGCCCAAAGTCATGAAGACTAGGCAATATCAGGACTCAGAAACATTGTAAGCACTTTGACTATAAGCACAGTGACTTTTTCATTGGGGCCTCCGAGGTTGGAGAAGTGTTAGGAATATAATATTTGTGTATATACTCTTTTAATTACTTAGTGATTTCAAATCCAATAAGCAGAAACATTGCAGGTTAAATACCCAAATAATATATCATGTAAGAAGCTCTGAACCTCTACAGTTTTGGTTCTAGCAACTAGTAACTAGAAACCATTGACATTAATACTCTAATCCCATTATCTTTGTGGAAATGCAAATGTTTTAATTTTATATAAATTATACAGTAATGGAAAGAAAACTCATCACAGAGCCAAAAGATCTGGGTTCAAGCCCCTGTTTCAATTCTTAATGACCCTGGGAAGTTATTTAACTTCTGAGTCTCAGTTTCTTCAACAATAAAATACAGATCGGTAATATGCATACTATTGAAGTCATAGAATTGTTGTGAGACAATGCATGTCAAAGAAACACTATATAAATGAGGATTTCTCATACAAGTGCCAGTGTAGGAATATATTCACTTCCTCTGATAGCATTCAGCCTAGCAATGCCAACAGTACAGAAATACTACTCATTTATTAGCTTTGTCTTGCAAGTCACGTATCCTATTGACATCTTTGAGATATAAACTACTACTACTGGATTTTACAACATAGTTATCCCTGGTTGCACTGTCCAGTCCAATAAATCTTAAGTGCCTACTGTTGAGGCACAATTAATAAAAAGAAAGACAATATTACTTAGCAATTTTTATTTTAAGAAACTGAACTTCCATTAGAAACAACTATGTTTCTTTTGAAAGTATTAACAATAAAGGCCTAGCAATTGGCTAATTAAAAAAAATCTACAGAGACTTCCTGAATAGGTCATAAGCCCTGAAAACTAAACCTGGTAAAGGAAAATATCATGAAAACATCAATAATAATATTACTGGGTGCCTCTACATGTTTTTCTCACTAATTTCTCACAAAATTCAAAACACATGCATATTAGTACTATAACCATAATTAATCCAGAGCATCATTTTCTAAAATAATTACCATGTTTTGCAGAACATAAAGTTAATTGAAAAATAATTATTTCTTTCTCACGAAGAGGATTGTGTACATCCTAATGTGAAATTGACTAAATCACATAAAAAGTAATTTTGCAACCCTAGCTGGAATTTCCTAATTAGATTATAGTGTTAATAAGTCAGAAGGATATCCTTGGTAAAACAGATGCTTTATCATCAATATGCAAAACTGTCCTGCACTTTTCTTTCAATGAAGTTATTTGCCAAGATTGAATACAGAAGGCATTATGTGACTGCTTTTGAGGGCTTTTTGGTAGCAATTAATCTTTATTCAAATATAATTACTATGTGAACAGCAAAATTGGGTGATGGGTATATTTCATTTTTAAGGAAGATGGATTCTTACAAGCAGACCACCCAGGTAGAATACAATCCCATTAACAGTCTATTTTTTTGGTGTGATTTATAACATAATTTATATTATCTTATTTTTTTAAAACACTATGCTCTGAATAATAGAGACTAGTTTATCTTCCTGCAGATGGAGGGCAACCAGTTGGATGGCCATAGTACAGTCCAAACAGAATCATGTGGAGAATAGAATAGAAAACTATTATCTCTTCAAGAACAAGAAGTTGAGATATATGGTCACTTTTCTAATTTCCTAGAGTCACATCACCTCAGAAAAGGAGGTAGCCTTTGGTAAGGCAAAAGTATCTAGAAAATCTCAAACCATTCACTAGCTTACAATACTGTCATTTTAAAAGAATTTGTCATTGGAAGAAGGGTGCTGGTTGTATTGTTTCTACCCCTGTAGGGTAAATAATTTTGTCCTGATACACTATGGTGATGGCTACTTGGAATAATGTAAAGATGGCACCATCATTTTATATGCTAATACCTCAGAGGTCTGAGGAAAAGATCTTATTACTTAGGAGTAGAATTCTCACAGTAATTGCAGGAGGGTTCTGATCAAATTAGTATAATCAGAAAGAATACTTACGCTGCTACAATGAACTTTTTTAGTGTCGTGACAGAAAACTGCAAATAAGAGAAACTGAAACAATAAAGTTCTAAGCAGGGTTGATTTATTAGCAAAACTAGCAATTACCAATAAATGGGGTCCACGGTTCCTCAGTAACCAAGGACATTTTCACTTTATCTTCACAACACACTGTGAAGTATGTGCAAGTAGTATGCCCCCACGCCCCTATTTTACTAATTAGGAAACTCTGCCTCAGACAGGTTAATCTACCTATGGTTATGAGGCCTAATTTGGCCTACGTCTCTTCTGACTCCAAGTTTAGCACTTTTTCTCTGTAGCACACTGTCTCTACCTTCCTATGAAAAGAATTAAGACAAGAACATTGAGCCTCACTTTCAGATGAGCTGGTCACAAGGAGGGAAGACATGCACGTTTGTGCATGAGCACAAAGACACACACACACACAGAGTTGGATACAGATTGATATTTCCCCTCCAAGGGAAATAAGAGGGAAAGGGGAAAAGAGGGGAATGGAGAATTAGAGGGAGGTTAGATTAAGGAAGAGATGAGTCATAAGCAAAACAAACTCTAAGGATGTAACAATACCACACAATAAAAATAAAAATATATTTATAGTTGTTTTTGAGGTGGCAAAGAATGGGAATCTGAGGGGTGCTCAGAAACTGGGAAATGGATGACTAAGTCATGGTACATAAATGAGATGGAATACTATTGTTCTGAATCCTTAAGAGTCATGACCCACCAGGATTCCAGAGGACACATGGTGGAACATGCCATCTACCTCCTGATAGAGAGGAAAGACTCAGAGTGCAGAATGAGAAAATGTTTTTGTACATGGCCAATGGAGAAATTTATTTTGATTGACTATATATTTGTAATATGTTTTGTTTTTCTTGTGTTCTCAATTTGAGGAGTAACAAGGAGGTTGAGAAGACAGATCTTGACTGATTAAAACAAAGAAAAAAAAACTGAGCCAAAATCTTAGACAGCCTAGAGCATGGACTGCTATCAAAACTCTGAGTATACTAGGGCTATATTTGGATTCAATGATACCTCAAGGTTCATTGACTTCTTTAAGCCCCCAATTAGGAAGGCCGTCTGGCATGAAGTCAGGGCTTAAAGTGATTCTTCTAGGTAGCTAGGTGCTATAGAGCCCCAGATCTGAGGTCAGGAAGATCTTAGTTCAAATTAGACTTTAGACACTTACAAGCTGTCTGACCCTGGGCAAGTCTTGGTTTCCTTGGACCCTCTGTCTTGGTTTCCTCATCTATAAAATGGGAATAATAATAGCACCTACCTCCCAGAGTTGTTGTGAGAATTAAACGAGATAATAATTGCAAAGTGCTTAACACAGTATCTGGCACACAGTAAGTGATATATAAATGTTAGCTACCATCATCATCATCATCATCATTCTAGGAGACTTTAAGTAAGAAGGTATAGAATGGTAGTAAGATTTAAAGGTTGGTAATAAATCTAATGCTACCTTTCACGGTCATCAGTGGCAGGAAAAATCAGGCTACTAAAAAACTGGGCTTAAAATAATCAATTACGACAGGAAAGGATAGTAGCACTAGAAAAGACAAAGAACCCTCAGATTTTTTTTTTAGAGGAAGGCTATCAGTAGAAATGTTTTTTGTACTTTAATTTAGAAATTCTCTAAGTTTGTAACTGTTCAGGGAATTGTCTAAATCAGAGAATTATTATATTACCTCTTAAGAGTTTAGAGCATTTATGTAGAACATTTAATGTGATACTGAGGTTAGCTTTTGTTATCTATTACTCTAAGTACTAAGGTCTGTTCATGTATTAGAATTATGTTCTTGGAGGTATGTTTTTAGTAAACTACACTATGTAAAAAAGGCTTTTTAAAAAGTTGAATATTTAAATAAAGCCCAATTAACAAATAGTTACTAAACATCTATTAAATGCAAGTCAATATGAGTCTCTTTGAGTGACAAAAATATTTTATAAAGGTAAATTCTTTATTACAAAAAAGACTTTTATACTCTTGCAGATGTGAAGTTAGTTTACAAAATAATGAGAAGAGCTCTGTGTTAAAAGTTAAAAGAAGGCTGTTTCTAGATCTGGCTTTACTGCTAATTAGCTATATGACTATTCACAAAGTTGTTAACCTGTGACACAGTGGTCAATTGCTAATTCTAAGAGGATGCCAGAAATGCCCTGCCAACTGCCTCTATTTTTCACATTGATGAAAAAAAGCAGTACAGCATTGGTAGGTCATTGGGCACCATTACAGGGCCTTGTACGTCCATGTACTCATGGAGGTACAGCTGCGGAAAGCTTCTGCTCAAACCTCTTAACCTTGGTTTGGCTGCAGTATTTTGGTAACAAAGTATTTCTCCTGAATGTTATGCTACACACACGATCTGTTTCCCTTGAGAATAACTATTGATACAACTAATCAGAGAAGTTAATTCAACAGAAAAATCATCCAACATCATGTAAGAAGATGAAGTCATTTTAAGTATCTTTTCTATAAAGATAAAAGTCCTAAGATCAAAAATGAAGTCTCTGCCCTTACTTTTTAAACTATTTTTTATAACCAATAAACATAATTTTAACAGGTTAAAGAGCAAATTGTAAATTTCTGTTGTTTGTTTTAAAAAATAGTTTAAAAAATCAACTACCAGACTCTTTTGGTACAGGTACTTCATAGGTACAGTTTCAAGGTGTACCTATGAAAAGTAAAGATGCTATAAAGATAATACTCAAGTCTTATGTTCAGGGTGAAGGCTGTAAAAGAACATGTGTTCAAAATAGTCTTGAAATAACTCCTGGAATTCTAGGCAATTCCCAGGTATTTCAAAATTGAACAGGGGCCCTAAGAACTTGAAGAAACATTTTAACCTTTATGGGTCTCAGTTTCCTCAATAAAAAATGAAGGGGTTAGGCTAGAATACCTCAAGGTTCCCAACCTGCACAATTTCCTAGATCATCCTCTTTTTACCTTTCCAATCCACAACACTTATTTAAGAGTTCATAGTCTGGAAGCTAACTCTAATTGGGAATAATCTTCTCTACTACATCTTCAGGACTGATTGTAGGACTGAATGTTATGCCCATATAATTACTGTCTTTCATTTGCTGTGACTGTGTGGTTTGTCCTTAATTCTTGAAGAGGACCATCACATCAGGAAAATGATATCAGGACTTGCAAGTGAATTGGATTTAAGTGAGGGGGGGGCTGTGCAAAGTCACCAGCCTCAGTTTCTCTTCTGGAGCCATCTGGGTCCAGTGGGCAGATATAGATCAGGACAACTGGAGATGGCCCAGCCTTCCACTGGTATCCTATAGCCAGAACTGGTTATTCCAGGTCCATTGTGAAACACAGGCTAGGCCTAAATCCTCCCTGTCTCCTTTGATGGGTGGGCAGTGGAAATAATAACTATGTCCTGGTAGGGAAACATTATTTTATATATGTTACTATAAAATTAAATGTCTAAACCTTTTTTCTAAGTGTAAATCATTAATGAACCTCTTGTAAACACAATACATAGGAATGCATACTCTACAAATATCTGAGACACTCAAAAATATAAGGCTTTTACATAGTGCAAAATATAAAGATACATTCACCTAACTTACCAGCAGTAGTCCAGCAGATGTGGCGGAAGCACTGGGATATATATATGTTGCCAGTACATTGGATATAACAGTGCAGCTGATCCATGAAGGCAAGCAGTTAACTAAAATTTTTTTAAAAGGATGACAATGAATAACTTGTTTTAAAATCAAACTGTCAAGTTCAAAGTTTTCTATGAATACTAAAAATCATAAACTAAGTATAATAAATATAAAGCAATGTTCAATATTAGTTAACTCTATGAAGAAAATTAAATGATCATATTTACCATCACAAATCTAAGGGCAATATGTATTTTAGACACGTCTTTATAAAATACAGAAATAATCAGTTTTCTAGTAAATCTTGGACAGCTTTATCCACTTAAAATATATAACTAAGGGCAAAATTTTCAATGACAAACATAAAATTAATATTCGGATGAGTATCTTAGTAAAAATCACACAAAAAATAAAATGTGTGCATCACAGTTTGCTCATCACTCAGATTAATATAGTGCGATTAAATATGGAAAAGAAGAAGGTCTGAAAGCTCCTGAGGGATATCATTAGGGCAAATTGCCAAAGAATGAAACATGAGCCAGTCAGGAGAATCTGGAAGCTGCAATAATACCAAGGGACTTGATTGTTCGACAGTTGGAGCTTCAGTAATGTGTGAACTGCAGGTTATGGTATCAAGAGACTCTGTTCACTGACACAGAGAATGTCACTATTGACCAGCAAACTGCCCAAGCTTGACAGCTATACTACAGGAAGCCAAGTATATCACAATTTCATATCTAAACTGCTCATTCCAGATTAACATTTTGTATCCTATTTTTATGTCAAAACAGCTGCAAGTATATTACTCCTTCTTTAAAGGTAAACGGAATTTTAATTATTATTTTCTTGTGTAGCAAGCCATTAATTGTTTTTGAATGCTTAACAAAAGAATATCTCCTCCTTATCCCACAAATAGCCTATCATTACACTTCTGTCAAAAATTGCTTTAATTTTTGTTGTATAAAAGGTTTATCTACTTATATATAAGATCACTATTTTCAAGTATGTCATGAAATGATTAAATCAGTAATTTCCAATCATTTACTTGTGCTAGCTTTGGGATGTCAAGTCTACTGTTCAAACTATCTTATTTATGTGAAACGAAGCATGGAATTTTATAAAGTATATACCTATTCTGGAAATTCAATTACTTAATATCTGATATTTTAGAATAGAAATGTCATTACTACAAAGAGATCAACAAAGTTTAATACATTAAAATTTAAAACTATCTTACACATGTAAAGAAATCAGAGTTATTACAAATATTTTTTGGTTCAAGTGTAAAATATTTAGTGGATTGTTTGTTAAATAAACATATGGGAAGAAATATTTTTATCATTTAGCTCAGCATTTATCTAGAATATATATAGTGACTTGATTTTGAATTTCTTTTGCATCTGAAACAATGTATTTTTATTTTAATTGCATTTGCTGATAATACCATTAACGCTTTTTGTATTTGTGCCACAGCAGTTAGAAGCTTTAGCATTTTAATCTATTATATATCTTTATCAAGTATTCTCTTTAAAACACCATTATAATTAGAGAAAGCACCACTAGGAGGCATTCAAATACTTGTGACTATTCAAATGTGTGACTATTACAGATCATGAAATTATTTATGTTCTCTCCACTTGAAGTAGAGAAAAGTCAGAGGATTAGCTGTAACTCTGGACTTCTATTTCTGATTCACTGCATCAAATTCACATATTCCTTAAGTTAGCTCTTGGTTTTAAATTAAAGCATCTCTGGAAGCTAAATTAATGCTTTCTGTTCTATAGATTATCTTGCCCAATTACTATACTGAGTTGCTATTCTGAAAGGATTAGTATAACTTCCAAAGGCCCCTACCTTTCCTAATTTTTCCAAATAAGTGAACTGTTACAAATAGGTATCCTTTAAAAATCATAGTTAATAGGAAAAAGCTCAGTCTTCTCATCCGCATTAACTTCCTACTCTTAGTGGAAAATGAGTATTTGCTAAGCATTCTAGTAAAGTACTTGCCACTACATTAAATATTATCCAGACATTGTCACTATCCTCTTACCTTTCTATTTTAAAGATAATACCTATGTTAGTCACTAATTCCAAACAATGTATGTGATGATTTTCACTCTGATATCTAGCAAAGATGTGTAAATTAATAGCCATAACTGGAGTTACATTGACATTGCTAACATTAGCACAAAATTATCCCCATTAATAAATACAAACCATAAAATATAGCTTCATGCCTTCATTCATAATATCCTACTATTGCTTTACCCAGCATAAGTATGGCTAAGGACCAAGAAAATTATTCTATTAAAATTATCTAGCTGAATGTTTGGTAAAATAAGAGTATATACCAAAAAATTTTTAATTCTCACACATCCACCTAAATAACTGCCAAACCCAATTGTTTTGTGATCAGACTCTATGAATGTCTAAGAAAAAAAAATTATAGCAAATATCTTGTCAGAAGAAGTAGGAAGAGGATTTACAAATAATTTGAAATACTAGTTAAAGGAAAGTAATAAATTAATTTGGATATTATCCTTATAACAACAAAGCATGTTTCAAGTATTAATTTAACTGCTCACTAAGGATTTTTCTGATTTTAGGAAACTAGGACATATAAATTATTCTCAAGGGGACTTGAAAATTCTCCCTTGAAAATTCACCCTAGAGTACTCTCTAAACATGTCAAATATTTACTACCAATTTGTTTAGGAATCTGAAATTACTTTACAGAAGTTACACATTCATTAAGAAGGCTCTCAATACTCAGCATTTTGCACACAAGTCTCCATTTTTCTGGTTTATATTCATAGCCATTTACTGAGTATTTCTGATAAATTAATGCAAATGGGAAAACAGCTGTGCATATTTTAGAACTATAGTATATAATACTAAGGCATTTCACAATTTACACATGTAAATTGTTATGATTATTTTATAATTGGATTGTTTTGCAAATAAACACTTCATAAAATTTTAAAATCATATAAATGTGAATTATAGCTTTAATATAGTACAGACCATACAAATAAGTTGGACAAAAAATAACAAAAGTTGAGTCCTGAACTAAATATGATAAAAGCAGGATGAAATGCCTTTAGATAATTGCAGAGCTCTTTTATTGATCCCCAAGCTGCCCCTGAAAACAAAGGCACATCTTTAATACTAACACCCTACCAGTGTTACTGTACTACAGACAATAAAACAATCTCCAAAACTTAAAAATTAATAGCATATTAAAGGCAAGAGAGAGCTTCAATGTATAATCAATGAGAAACTCAAAGAAAAAAAGTAATAAATTACAACATCAAGGTAATGTATAATGGAAGAGAGGACAGACTGGTCACATGACAAGGGATGATAGGTGGACAACCAAAGTGATCATAGTATAGTGTCATCTTGATGTCGGGAGAAGGGGAAAAAAGTCTCCAGAATGTTGAGTGGATCAACTGTAATCAATTGGCTGTGATCTGTATTGTTGGAAGGAACTTCCATAGATACTATCAGCATCTCTTTTGGGTTTTAATTCAACAAAAATCAAGAGAAAACTGATCACTTGAAATCTCATCATGCAGAGTGACTCAGCTTCCTGGATCCCTAAGATGCCTCTTCTCTATGATTGGAGGACTCAAGGACAGAGTCCCAAAGTCTGCCTTTATTAAAAGGCTCAGAACTTTCTAAGTAACTCTTCATTTCCCACTCTGTTTGGTTTTTTTTTTTAAACATTTTTATTTAAAGTTTTGAATTCCAAATTTTATCCCTCCCTCCCCTATCTTCCCTCCTCCCTCCCTGAGAAGGTAAGCAATATACATGTGTAATTTTGTAAAACATTTCCATATTGGTCATTTTGTACAAGAAAATTCAAATAAAAAAATAGAAAGTGAAAAATAATAGCATGCTTTAGTATGTATTCAATCAATATCAGCCCTTCTTCTGGGGGCAGATAGTATGCTTCATCATTAATCCTTAGGAACTGCCTTGGATCATTGTATTACAGGGAACAGCTAAGTCCTTCACAATTCTTCATCAAACAATATTGCTGTTACTGTATACATTGCTCTCTGGTTCTGTTCACTTCACTATGCATCAGTTCATGTAAGTCTTTCCAGGTTTTTCTGAAATCATCTTGCTTATAATTTCTTATATCTGCTTGGTTTTGACTCCATGAAAATTATGCCCCTGTGGTGGGGACTTCCAGGTCTCCCCTCTGCCCTTTACAGCTTATTTTTTTGTATTGTCTGCCCCCATTAGATTGCAGCTTCCTTAAGGGCAGGAATTAACATTCTGTTTCTTATTTGCATGCACAGCACTCAGCATAGTGCCTGGCCCACAGTAGGTGCTTAATGTTTACTGAATTTTAAAAGAGATGAAATAATATATCTATGTGCATATTAGTATTAGAGAATGTCAAATCATATAAACTAACTTTAAACCAAGCCAATTTCACATAGCACCTACTCTCACACTTAAAACACCAAATAAGTGCAAGCTGCTATTATTATTGTTGTTATGATTATCATTACTACCTATATTCTAAAGCTTTTTGGCACCAGCTGACAATGGACTGGTAGTGAGGAAGAACTGAGTTAAAATGCTGCCTCAGACATTTACTGTGTGACCCTGGACAAGTCACTTATCCTATCTACCTCAGTTTCCTCATCTACAAATGGTGATAGTAATAGCACCTACTTCTCAGGGTTGTTTCGAAGATAAAATGAGATAATTTACATAAAGCACGATACAAACCTTAAAGCATTACACAAACATAAGCTATTATTGTTGTGGCTACTGTTGTATTGCCGGTTAACACAGGCCTGGCACGCAGCAGATGCATCACTGTTATAATCATCATCATCGTCAACAGTATTTATATGGCACTTCAAGATTTGCAAAGTGTTTTAAAATATTGATTTATTTTATCCTCATAACAACCCGGGCAGGTCAGTGCTATTACTCTCTTTTTTTACAGATGAGGAAAATTAGCCCCAAAATAATTAAGTCAGTTTTCTGAGACTACACATATAGTTTACAGCAAACTAAAAGTTAAGTCTCCTGACTC